TTCGGGGCGCGAGCGAAACGGGCGAAGGGCGCGTCGAGGGGGACCGGGGGTGCGCGTGGGTTGTGCGTCGCGGCGACGCGCGGGGCGTGCGCGCGCGGCGACGCGTGCGCGTTTTCGCACGACGTCGAGGGATTCTTGACGCGTAAACCGAAGGATCTCCCTGGGGTGTGCACGTTCGCGCGCGCGGTGGATGGATGCCCGTATGGGGTTCGGTGTCGGTATCTCGGCTCGCACGATGGCGGGAAGGGGGGGGCGGCGACGGAGGAGACGGTCGCGTTGGAGCCGCCGCGCGCGATTGAAAAGGAGATAAATTTCTTGGATAGAGATCTGATGGTGAAACTGAGGAAGAAGGCGTACGATTTCACGCGCGCGGATTCAATCGTGAAAGATGTCCTGGGCCAGATGTCGGCGGAGACGCAGGCTGCGGCGAAGGATGACGGCGCGGCGGAGAGCGCGCCGAAACGCGCAAAAGTCGCCGCCGCGGACGACGACGACACCACGCAGGCTGGCGCGTTCACGAAAGTTCGCGAAGGCGAGAAGAAGAAGATTGATTTCAAGGATAAACTTTATCTCGCCCCGCTCACGACGGTCGGGAACTTACCGTTTCGACGCGTGTGTAAAACGCTCGGAGCTGACATTACGTGCGGAGAGATGGCGTTGGTGACAAATTTGCTGCAGGGTCAGCCGAGCGAGTGGGCGCTTCTCCGCAGGCACAAGAGCGAAGATATTTTTGGGGTGCAGATATGCGGTGGCTACCCCGACACGGTCACGCGTTGCTGTCAACTCCTCGAGGAGAACATCGACGTCGATTTCATCGACATCAACATGGGTTGTCCAATCGACTTGGTGTGCCAAAAGGGATACGGATCGATGATGCTCGAGAAACCGAAAAATATTGAAAAGGTTCTTCGAGCCGCGAGCGCCGCGCTCACATCGACGTCGTTGACGTTCAAGACGCGGATCGCGTACACCGACAGCAGCCGTGTGGCGCACACCCTTTCGCCGAAGGTTGCGGGCTGGGGCGCGGCGGCGATGACGCTCCACGGGCGAACGCGCGCGCAGCGTTACCGCTCCGTCGCGGATTGGGAATACATCAAGCTCACGAAAGAAGTGAGCTCGGTGCCTTTGATTGGGAACGGTGACGTGTACATGCAGAGCGATTATTACACGCACATGGCGGAACACTCTGTGGACACGTGCATGCTGGCGCGAGGCGCGCTCATCAAACCTTGGCTCTTCACAGAAATCAAAGAGCGTCGCGATTGGGACATTTCTTCGAGTGAGCGTTTCGATATTTTGAAGTCGTTCGTCTCGCATGGCTTGGAGCACTGGGGATGCGATTCGAGGGGCGTCGAGAACACGCGAAAGTATCTCCTCGAGTGGATGTCGTTCACGTGTCGGTACACTCCTCTTGGCATTCTGGAACAAGGCTACGAGCACGTCGACATGACTCAACGCCCGCCGCACTTCGTAGGGCGAGATGATCTCGAAACTCTCATGGCGAGCACGGACGCGCGGGATTGGGTAAAAATTTCAACCATGTTGCTCGGACCGCCGCCGGAGAATTTCAACTTTCAGCCGAAACACAAGTCGAACGCGTATGCGACCGAAGGCGGTGCCGCGTTGGGCGACATGGATCAGGGCTAGCTGACTATCTGATTGTAACAACAGTAAAAAATCAACAACTAGAGAGCGCGGCGCCGCATGTAAACTGCGACTTCAATGTGACGAGTATTCGGAAAGTGGTCCAACACTATAAACTTCTCGACGACGTGCGTACTGAGTCCATTTCGAATGTTTTGGAGCAAGTTTTCAGGGCCACACGACACGTAGAGCACGTGGTCAAACGTACTCACCAAACGCAAGGTGTCTGGATCGAGTCCAGCTCGAGGTGGGTCCACGAGTACGACGTCAAAATCTGTACTCGAGAGCGCTTTGCCTTGTACGTCTACAAACTTTCCCGCCATCATGCTTCTCGCCACGTTCTGACTATCAGCTAACACGACTTCCACATTGTCGATCTCGTTCATCTCTAAACTCTCGCGGGCTGCCGTCACTAAGCTCGGATTGATCTCGACCGCGACGATGCGATCGAAAATGGTTGCCAATGCGCACGAGTGATTCGCGCATCCGCAATACAGCTCGAGCGCGCTCACGTTCTTCCCATCTCCCACGATTTCGCACGCGCACGCGCGAAGAAACTCCATCGTCGCGATCGTTATCGCTCTATTCGGGTTCGAAAAGCTTCCTTCCGCGTGATGATACCTCAAAGTCGTCCCATCTCGAAGCTCGTACGTCTCCTCCACTCGATCGCTCCCCGTCTTTACGACCACGCCCTTCGATCGCCCCATGAGCTCAACCTTTGCGAACACGCCGTCGCCGTCGTTCGCCAACATTTCCCTCGCCGCATCCAACCACTCGCCCTCCTCGATCGGCGTCGAGTACACCAGCGTCACCAAGACGCGTCCGCTCGCGACGGACGCCAAGAAGTGCGCCGCCTCCAGCCCTCGCTCGCACGCTTTTCTTCGCTCCGCCGCTCGCAGCACGCCCTTCATGACGTCCTGAATCGCTCCCACCGCGTCTGGAAACGTCTCCACGATCGCGTTCGGTCCACCGTTCGCCCACAGCGCGTACTTGAGCGCGCCCGCGTCGTCGCGAACGACTTGAAACCGACATCGACTTCGATGTCCCGAGTTCGCGCTCTCGGCAATCTCAAACGACGTCGACGGCGTCAAGACGTCCGCGAACGCGACGCGGAGACGCGCCACCTTGTTCTCGAGCGACATCGCGCGCGTTCGACGCCCGCGCGCGCGACGAACGCGCGTCGCGCGGTGCGGCGTGCGCGAAGTCAAAGGCTGAATACGAACCGCCGCATTGACCGACGTGCGCGGACGCGCGCGGCGCGGTGCGCGCGACGGGAGCGATCGAGGGCGCGTCGACGGCGCGTCGCTCGGGATTGTACCATGGCGCGCGCGTCCCGGACGCGACGGGAGGAGCGCGCGGTGAACGACGAGGCGCTCGTCGCGACGTTTCGTGAACTCGAGCGCGAGCTCGTGGGCAAGGCGCGAGAGTGCGCGCGCGCGGTCGAGGCGAACGCGCGCCGACGCGACGCGCAGGGTGAGGAGAGCGTTCGGGTGCAGTGGGAAGAGACGGAGCGATGGCGAGCGTGGTGCGCGAGGGCGAGGATGCAGACGTTGCGATGCGTCGACGCGCTCGCGCGCCGCGCGCAAACCGAATCGACGAGACGCGCGCTTCGACGATGGCGCGAGGCGATGAAGGAGGCAAATGAGGAACGCCGCGTAGAAATCACAAGAAGGCGTGAAGTCCAGCGTTCGGTTTTCGCGTCTTGGCGCTCGCTGGGGCGGAGCGCGCGTTTGAGAGCCGCTCGCGCGAATTCAGAGGCAACGTTGACTCGCGAGACGACGTTTTACGACGCGCGATGCGATGACGCCGTGGCGAAGCTCGCTCCACGTTCCGATGCGCGCGTAAAACGTCACACGAGATCCGTAGAGAGCTCAGAGTCCGAAGTTCGGCGGGCCTTCATGCGAGGCGTATGCGTGTTGAATCTCGAAGCGGCGAGAGTTTTGTAACGGAACGGTGTGCTAAAACTCGTGCGAGTGCTATTTCAATTGTTTTGTGTTTTTCTACTGGTATCCCGCGTGAATTACTCACGCCGTGATAAGTCTCGGAGCGATGGCCATGCTCATCAGCTCTTGGAATAAAAGTTTGCACGCATACGGTACCATGACCTGGACGACGGACGTGCGCTCGCTCGGGTTCTTGCAACACTCGAACGTTTGGTTCTTCAAGTTGGCGACAGCGATCAAACCACACTTCTGGCAGACGTGGATTCTGTACGCATCGGACTGGTCCATCAGACGTTCCTTCAGGAACGAGGCGGCACCGTGACTCATGATACAATCGCGTTCCATTTCTCCGAAACGCAAACCACCGTCTCTCGATCGACCCTCCATTGGTTGACGCGTCAAGATTTGTACAGGACCGCGGCCGCGAGAGTGAATCTTGTCGTCGACCATGTGCTTCAGACGCTGATAGTACGTAGGACCGATGAAGATTTGTGCGTCCAACATGCGACCGGTGTGGCCGTTGTACATGACTTCGTTGCCGCGCTTCTGGTAACCGCACTTGTGGAGCATCGTCGAGATGTCTTCCGCGGTCACAGGCGTGAAGGGTGTGGCGTCCCCTTCCTTGCCCATGCACGCCGCGACCTTACCCATGATACACTCCACGAGCTGACCGATAGTCATCCGCGAAGGAATGGCGTGCGGGTTGACAATTATGTCTGGCGTGATACCCTCGCACGTGAAAGGCATATCTTCTTGCGTGTACGTCATACCGACGGTACCCTTCTGACCGTGTCTGGATGAAAACTTATCACCAACTTGCGGTGTTCGCATCGATCGAACTCGAAGTTTCACGAAGCGCAAGCCTTGATCGTTCGTCGTGAGCAATACTTGATCGATTATACCAGTCTCAGCGTGCTTCATGCCCGTGGAGCAATCCTTCTTGGAGAAGCGCTTCGAGAGCACTGCCGAGTCGTCTTCAGGAAGCGGTGCGGTTTTACCGATGATAATATCATCGCCGCTGACGCGTGTGCCGGGACAGATCAAACCATCGTCATCAAGCTTGTCGTAAGTGCCATGGCGCATACCCAAGCACGTGTCTCTATCGGGTCTCTCAAACTCTTCGCGGCTCAGGCTGCCTTGCTTTTTCTCCTCATCCTTGAATGATCTGTAGTACAACGAACGGAACAAACCGCGATCGATTGCGCTCTGGTTCATGAGCACTGAATCTTCTTGGTTGTAACCGGTGTAGCACATGATGGCGACCACCGCATTGCAACCAGCGGGGAGTTCGCGGAAGTGCAAGTACTCCATGGCGCGCGTGGTAACCAGCGGCTTTTGCGGGTAGAAAAGGACGTAACCCAGCGTATCCATGCGAATTTGGTAGTTCGTGACGTACATGCCCATCGCTTGCTTACCCATAGCGCTCTGGTAAGTGTTACGTGGAGACTGGTTGTGATCTGGGAACGGAATGATGGAGGCACAAATGCCCAAAATCATCGACGGGTGGATCTCGCAGTGCGTGTACCTGATGGCGACGCCTGTCTTCCTGTCCGCACTTTGACGAGCCGCGGCAAGATCATCGATTGTCATGGAAATCATAGTCGTTTCCTCTTCTTCAGTGTCGACATATTCGATGAAGCCAGACGTGACGAGTTCATTCCACGAGTAACCGGTGACGTCCTTCTCGGTGAGCAACTCAATGTGCTGCTTCTTGATGCGAAGCTTTTGATCGTCGTCCACGATGAACAACGGGCGCGTGCATCTACCGTAGTCGGTGTATAATCGGAGCTCCTTCAGCCGAATGTCGTGCACGACGCTCACTGAAGAATCGACATCACACTGACGACGAAGCTTACGCAGGGTGCGCACCAAGTCGGCAGGATCTCGGTGAACACCAACCCAGACGCCGTTCAGGAAAATCTTCGTGGACTCGGCAATGAGTGACGGCGAGATTTCTTCCAGATTCTCCATGGTCCACTCGTCCAAGAACTCCAAAATCGGTTCGGACGGCGAGCCGACGGAAACAAGAGCCATTAGCGCAAGGTTCTTCACCAACCCGACAGCCTGACCTTCGGGAGTCTCCGCCGGACAAATCATACCCCAAAGAGAGTTGTGTAACTGACGTGGCTTCGCCAACTTACCCTCGCGACCAATCGGAGAGTTAATACGACGAAGGTGCGAAAGCGTGGAGGAGTAAGAGAGGCGGTTTAGCACTTGGCTGACACCTGCCCGAATATCCTGAGCTCCTTGTGACCCCCAGTTCCCGGTTGCGAGCGAATATTTCAACCCTTGAGTAATCGTCTTCGCCTTGATCGCAAGTTGCAGCTGAATTTCTTTACCGCTGTCGATGCATCGCTGGCAGTACAGACGTACATCCTTCGTGAGCTTGCGGAAAAGCTGTCGGAAGAGTTGCGCGAGCAGCGGACCGCCGAGATCCAAACGCTTGTTCCCGTAGTGATCGCGGTCATCCTCCGGACGTCGACCGAGCGAGCACAGCAGCAAACGGTGAATCATGTAACCCAAAAAGTACGCTTTCTTCGTCTCACAGTCTTCGCGAACGCCTACGTGCGGGAGAAGCTCCTTTTGAAGAATCTCCTTGGCGTACTTGATGCGCTTTTCCCGTGACACACCCACCGCGGAGCCACGCTTACCGATAAAATCAAGCGCAACTTCCTGCGACTGAATCACGAACGCCTCTTCGATCGATGGTCGAAGCATTTCCATCATTTCATTGTCGGCAAGATCGTAGCAGATGTGCTCCAAGATGTCCTTATCCGCGACGAAACCGAGAGCTCGGAAAACGACAAAGATCGGTATGTCGGTTCGAATGTACGGCAGCGTGCATCGAATTGGCCCCGGCGCGTCCTTCGTACCCACAGCGTGCATCTGACGCATTACGCACGAACTCGCGCCGCGAGAGCCACGCTCTGGTTGACTGCGGCATTCCGCTTGCCACATGAATTTGCTCGGTTGCTTCTTCTCGAACACGTACACGTGGTTTGTGCTCATTCTTTCTTGCGCGATGAGAACCTTCTCACTGCCGTTGATGACGAAGTAACCGCCTTCATCGTACGGGCACTCTCCGAGCTCGGTCAACTCCTTATCCGTGTGACCGTGGAGCGAGCAGTAGTCGGAGCGCAACATAATCGGCACCTTGCCGATGAACACCTTCTTGATCTCCTCCTTCTCCACCGTCGTTTCGCCCTCCGGAGTCACGGTCGTGATTTCCTTTACCATGTCCACGTACAGTGGCGCTGAGTACGTGAGGTTACGCAATCGAGCTTCCTTGGGGAAAAGTGTCGTCGTGTACCCGTCCGCCTCGGTCACCATCGGTTTACTCAGGTAAATCTGGTTAAAGCTAATCTTGTACGTCTTCTTCTCCATGTCCTCGATGTCTTGTCCCGGCAAGTGCTGATGCTCGGGCGTGAGTTCCATCTCACGCATCTCATCTGAGTGTCGAGCAAGCGTTCGCTCGTCAGTTTCTCGTCCCGCGTCGCGCTCCGCCTTCAATGCCCTAGACCCCTCTCTGCCTCAACGCGCGCGCGTTCGCGATACGTACCGACTATTTCTTGCATCGTGTGCTGGATGAACTCATTGAACGAGTCCAACTGCTGGCGCACCAGGCCCTTCTCCTCAAAGAAAGAGCTGATGACCACCCACGCGTCTTCCTGTAGACGTTCAGCGCGGCCCTTTCCGTCAGTCTCTACGATCTCGTGATCGTTCGCACGCCTCGTCCGCTCGCGGTCGATTTCGCTCGCGTGAAGCACGTCGAAGCATCACGCGTCGGCATCTTCGTCGCTTCGTCGCGATCGCGCGCCGTTCGAGGCGCGACGGCGACGCGCGAGCGCCGAATGCGTCGCGATCGCGATCTTTCAATCGTCGGCGCGGTCACGCACCTGTCCGATCTCCTCCTCCTCGTCCTCCTCGTGACCGTCGACGCGCATGTCGACGTCGTCTTCGTCGTAGACGCCCATGACGATCGGTGGTTTCGCGATTCGGCGGGCGACGCGCGCGCGCGAATGCGGTCGGTGACGAGCGTCTGAGGGTTTAGATTGGTGTCGGCGCGACGCGCGCGCGGAACGGAGCGGCGAAGTGCTGACGCGCGAGCTTTACAACCGCAATGGCGGAAAAAATCGGTCTAAAACGACTAAATGATGGGATGGTCAGTGCGCGTCACGGCCGCATCCGTAGATCACGGCCTCGGCGTGCCGACGAATGAAAAATTTTTGCCTCGGCGAGAGCGAGCCGGACACGGCTTCGACGAGCGGATTGGCGTTGGATTCGTCCTGCCCCGCGGGTCTGAGGGCGTGCGCCACGGCGCCGGCGGGTGATGACAAGAGATCGTACATTCCGAGCGCGATGAAGTGACGAAACCAGTCCGCGATAGGTCCAGGACCGGCGTTGATGAGGATTTCGGGCACGAAGAGCGGCTTTGAAGCCGTCATTGACACGAGCGTTTTGCCGAGGCCCTTGAACGTGACGACGTCCTGTAGGAACGGTCGCATCACGTCTTCGCCCAACGCTTCCATCACGCCAAAGTTTGTCGTCATCAGACGATTGATGAAATCGCGCTTTGGCTTGGCGCCTATCCGCACCGACATGCAGCGCTGGAACAACCACGCAGCGCTCAGCGCGGGCTGATACGCGTTGATCGACCGTAGAGCGTCTCGATCGAGCGCGTTAGCGTCCAAAGCCTCTTCCACGGCGCCGGTAATGCGATTGACGTGACGCAGAATAGCTGCCAAGCCGCCGAAACTGAGGGGACTTTGAATGCCGCTCGCGTCGCCTATCGCGAGCACGCGGTCGATCTCCGTCTTCAGAGGTGAGTTTCGAAACGTCGGAAACAGTCCGAACAACACTCGCTTCACCTTGACGTCATCCATGGACGACAGGCCTTGGTACGCGGGCATGTATTCCCAGTAATCGTCGAGCATGGACGCGATGGACGGTCGCGCTTCTTCGGCATCCATGTACGTAAACATGTACGTCGTTCGATCCCCCGGGCCCGACGACGCTGGGAACGCCTCCCAAAAGTATTGTCCACGGTAATCTGTCTCGATGTCCGTCACGGTTCGTATGAGATCGGCGGACTCGTTCTTCGACGCGTCGAACCCCTCGGCGCAGGTTCCGACGACGACGCACACGCCGTCCGGTTTCGCCCCGCCGCGAATCTGTCGCACGATTGGTGAGTTAAATCCCATGCAATCGAGCACCAATCGCGCGTGCACGGCGTTGCCGTCGACGTCGAGCACGGCGCAGTCGTCGTACACGTCCACGCCGTTCAAGGACGCGCGCTCCATGACCCGCCCGCCCGCCTCCTCGAAGCGCTCCCGACACTTCGCCACCAGTCTCGCCGGACTCACGCCGCAATTCAAGACGTCGCGCGTCACGATATCTTCCTTCTCACTCCCATGGAACCCACACCGAATCGGATTAAACTCAATCATCGTCACCTCGTCCGCGTCCTCCGCCGTCAACGCGCCCGCGCGCACCAACGCCTCCAGCTCCGCCCGGCTCACGTTCCACTCCTGTTCTCTTCCACGCAACTCCCCTCGCTCGATCACGCACACCCGCCCCCCCCGTCTCTGCAGCGCGCACGCGACCAAAATCCCGAGCGTGCCACCGCACACCGCGACGTCGAACGCGTCGCTCGCCGTCTCCGTCGCCGCCCGCCGTCTCCGTCGCCGCGCGAACGCCTCGCCGTCGCCCCGTCCCGCGCCGCGCCGCATCGACGTCCACGCCGCGTCCAACCGCATCAACCCCTCCAGCGTCGTCGTCCCGCCCGCGCCGCGCGCCGCGGACGCGTCGTCGTCATCGCGCGCGCTCGCGATGGATTCCATGATCTCAATCGTCCGCGCGCTCGGTCCATCCCGCGCCACGCCGCCCGCGACGCGCGCGCCGACGCGCCGACGTCCACGCGCGCGCGTCCACGCCGGCGCGGTGTCCACGCGCGCGCGCATCGCGCGACGCCGAGTGCGTCACGCCGATGGCGGTCACCCACAAGTCATGACCCTTCACTCGACGCCACCACTCGACGCCATGGCGGCCGACGCCGACGCCGCGACCGCCCCCGCGCTCGGCACCGCGGTCTTCCGCGTCCTGTGCGCCGAAACCCGCGTCGGTGGGTTGATCGGGCGCCAGGGGAAGCGCGTGCGCGGGATCGTCACCGAGACCGGGGCCCAGGTGAAGGTGTTGGCGAGCACGGCGCGGTGTCACGAGCGCGCGGTGTTAATCTTCGCCCCGCGCGCGCGCGATGGACCCGGTGATACGTGCGCGGCGCGCGAGGGCGCGCGCAGGGTGGTGCGGTACCTCACGCGCGCGCGCGCGGTGACGGAGGATGAATGCGACGGCGCGCGGGACGAGAGCGAGGACGAGAGCGACGACGACGACGACGGTCGTCGTGGAGATGGCGTCGGTGGTCAAGACCTCGGGCGGTCGACCGCGCACGTCACGCTGCGATTGCTCGTGCCGGCGGGACAGGCGGGACATCTCATCGGGAAAGGGGGGGAGAACATACAAGAGGTGCGAAAACGGGCGAACGGGGCGCACGTGGCGGTGCAAGAGGTCGGGCAGGTCCCGCCGTGCGCCACGAGCGAGGATCGCGTGGTTGAGATTCACGGGAAACCGAAGGACGTGCGGGTGGCGGCGGACGCGGTGTTCGAGTCGCTGAAGGATTACTTGGTCGATTCGAGCGTGTTGGGGCACTACCAGCCCACGGTGGCGGCGCCCGCGGGGGCGAACGTCGGGGACGTGGGCGCGACGGCGATGGGAATCGGGAATCACCCGATGTCCGCGCCCATGGGTATGGCGCCCGTCGGTATGGCGCCCGTGGGGATGGCGCCGGGAACGATGATGATTCCCGTCATGCCGATGATGACGCAGATGCAACCGGGAATGCAACCCGCGGGGATGCCTCCGGTACACGACAGCGTCGAAATCGATGGAGAAAAGGTGGCGAACGTGCTCGGCGAACACGGCGCCAACATATCCACAATCGCGCAAATCTCCGGGTGCCAAGTCTCACTCATCGAGACGAATCCGGACACGAACCTGAGCGAAGTCGAACTCTCGGGGCCGCACGAAAGTAATATCGCGGCCGCGAAGAGTCTCGTTCGCGCCTTCGCCGAGGGCGAAATGATGCCTGCCCAAGCCTTTCAGCCTGGATATCCGATGTACATGCCGATGCCTTTTCCCCCGCAACAAATGAACGGAGGCATCGGCTCGCCTCTTGCCCCCGAGTCCGAATAAACTGCTTTGAGTGTTGTTGAGTTGTGCGCGAGCCGCGTTGACGCGTGTTGATAGTAATTTTGTGTGAGCTACGAGCTCTGTATCGTCCTTGTTATGATGAACCAATGTTTTCGAGTCAGTTCGCCGAGGCTGATCGGCTCATCGATGTCGATCCTCGAGTAAATTACATTACGACGTCGTCAAGTAATCTTGAGCAACTCTATGTCGAATAGCAGCGTCTTGTCGATCATGCCTTGATTTTCGAGCACGAAACCGAGCGCACGCTCACCGCTAAAATTGTTCGGCTGCGGCTTCTTTTTCCGCCAGTTTCGCCCTTCGGGATACCCCAAAGCCGAGTTATTCGCTGGAACGATGATTCGTCGAATACCTCCGACTTTCATCCCGACGATCGCCTCGCGAAACGCCCCGATGACGTCCTCATCGCTCGCCTTAAACCTGAAGAAATCCTTCGTCTCACCCGTAAACGCCCCCCCCTTGGTCTTATTCCTCGCCTCGAACGGTCGACCGTAGTACCCGATCGTGTATCCGTCCCAATCGATCGTCGCCGTCTTCCCGCGCGTCGCCTCAAACGTCTCGCCGTCGCCGAGCACCATGTCCTTGTACTGCAACCCGCTCGCGGCGCGCTCGAAATCCGGATACAGCACCTCCCGCTTGCCGTAATCCTTCCCCGATCCCTGGAGCGCGTCCATGTACACCGCGTCGCCGTACTCGGCGCGCGCCCCGTCCGTCCCGCGCGCATTCGCGATCGTCACCAGCGTCGTCACCAGCGCGACGCGCCGCGACGCCGACGCGTGGACATCGCCCTGACCCGCGCGCGCATCGACGCGTCGCCGCGCCCGCGTCGCGCGCGGCGTCCACGCGCGCGTCGTCGTCGACATCATTCGAGACGCGCGCGCGAGTGCGGGTCGGGCGATGATGGATGCCGCGTCGGCGACGCCGCGGCGCGCGCGCGCGGACGCGGGCGAGGACGACGGAGGCGCGTCGACGTCCGCGGCGCGCGCGCTCGTGACGTGGGCGCGCGCGCGCGGGCGAGCGATCAGGGACGGACGACGACGACGCGCGCGTGCGATGGAAGATGAACGGCGCGCGCACGCCGCGCGCGTCGCGCGCGCGCTCGCGAGCGATGGCGGGTCGGGGGCGACGTCTGGGCGCGGTGGACGACGGGCGGCGCTCGTGGAGGCGCTCGAGGGCGGCGCGCGCGTGGACGCGGGGCGGGTGCGAACGCTGGCGAGCGACGGCGGCGTCCCGGACGACGACGACGGGCGCACGCGGGCGTTGGTGTGGAAGCTGTGCCTGGGATATCTCCCGGAGGAGCGAACGCGGTGGGCGAGCGTCGAGCGGGGACGACGGGAGGCGTACGATGGGTTCGTGGAGGAGTTTTGCGCGCGCGCGGACGCGCGCGCGGCGTGGATGGAGAGATACGTCGGGGATGCGATCGCGGAGCAAATCGACCGGGACGTCATGCGCGTGCATCCGGACATGCATTTCTTCAACGATGAGGGCGAAGACGGGCGGCGGAGGAAGGATCACATGCGAGACGCGCTGTACGTGTACGCCAAGCTGAATCCGGGAGTCGGATACGTGCAGGGCATGCACGAGATGTTTGGCTGTCTGTATTACGTCTTCGCCACGTCGATGAAGGATGAATCGAACACGCGCGCGGCGGCGGCGGACGCTTTTTATTGTTTCACGGAGATTTTCAGTGAATTTCGAGACGTCTTCGTCAAGGAGTTGGACGCCACGGATCAAGGCGTGCGAGCGTATTTAGATGCTCTGAGTGACATGCTGGCGACTCACGGTCCCGAGGTGCACGGTCACTTGACGAGCATGAATCTATCGACGTCAATGTACGCGTTTCGTTGGATCACGTTGCTCTTCACGCAGGACTTTGAGTTCGCCGACGTGTTGCGACTGTGGGACGTCATGCTCGCGTCGCCGAGATCGAGGATGGAGTGCTTACTTCGACTGTGCGTGGCGTGCGTGTTAAACATAGGTACCGAGCTCATCGAAGGTGATTTCGCGACGTGCATGAAGATGCTACAGAATTATCCACCCGTGGACATACGCCGGATAACGAGACTCGCCGCGGCGCTTCCGTACGGGATCCAACTAGACGCGTAACGTGTAACATTACCGGTTTCCTACAGCCACCGCGTGGACTTACAAACTGAACTAACTAATCGATCACGCCCCTCGAGCCTCACGACGCGTCGCGTCGTGGAGAATGTCCACGTCGACGCACCCCTCTGGAATTTGCACGTATCGCACCACGCTTCCGCGAATGAAACAGTTCCGCACGCTCCGCATGTGCGGGTACCGCTCCTCATCCGCCACCCGCGTATTCTCAAGCTTAATGTTCAAGTACTGATCCACCGAGACGAGCGTTCCCGTGATGGCGAGATCGTTCTTGAGCTCCACCGTCACCGGTTTCCCGACGAGCGTCTTAAAGTACGAGTAAAACAACCTACGATCGCGCGCGACGACACCGCCGTTCCGTCAGTCCCCGCGTCCGCGTCCGAACGCGCTCGACGTCGTCCACTCGCGATCGACCCACGCGCGCGCGTCGCGCGACGACGACGACGACGACGCACATTGTCCCTTCGATCGAATCGAATCGCCCACCGCGATCGACCCTTTCCTTCGCCGACCCGAGACCCCACGCGCGCGTGAGCCCGCGCGCGACGCCGAGCGCGGTCGCTCGCCGAGCGCCTCGCGCGAGGTCCGACGCGCGGTGTGTCGCGCCGCGCCCGGCGTCGACGCGACATCGTTCGATGCCCCCGTCGTCGGCGCGCGGCGTGTTTACACACTTCCCGTTGGTGGCGTCACGCGCACGGCGTGTTTACACACTTCAAGTGAGTGGCGTCACGCCCGACCCAGGGGAACGTGGACCGGCGCGCCGACGTGAAGTCGCGCCGGGCGACGCGCGACGCCGACGCGGGCGACGCCGACGCGGACGACGGACGGGATGTCGATCGACGTCCCGTCCGCGCCCGCGCGCGTCGACGGGCGACGCGCGCGGGGGGGTGGGACCGCGATGGGAGGCGAATCGTCATCATCATCGACGTCGGCGTCGACGCGCGCGGTGGCGCGCGCCGCGCGATGGGCGCTCGAGGGCGTCGGTGCGGTCGCGGCACGCGCGGGGGTGGGCGTGACGCGGGCGCGGGCGGCGGTGGGGGCGCGGGCGCGATATGTGGGGGCGATGGCGAAGAGGTTCGCGGTGGAGCAGTTTCCGCCGGACGCGGCGTGGATCGAACACGCCGATCGCGTGCGGGAGTTGGCGGCGTACGAGGCGGCGTTTGGGGTCGAGTCGGATGCGATGGCGTGTGTGCCGTCGAGCGCGTCGGTGGAGGGGAGAATCGATGCCGTGTGCGCGCGCGTGGATGCGTTGGTTTTGGAATCGCCGGCGACGGTTTCGGGCGTCGGGACGTCGGAGGACGACGATGAAGACGAGCGCGACGAGGAGGACGGTGCGTCGGACGCAGTCGCCGATGACGCGACGGTTGTCGTTCTGGAGGCTGTGGACGACGACGACGACGACGATGACGAGGGCGTGGATGAAGATCGTATCGCGTCGACGGAGATGTGTTCGTCGTCGTCGCCGTCGTTCGACGAACGCGACGTCGTCTTCGAGACCACGCCCGAGCGAGACGACGCACCGCGAGAGCACCGAGTCGTCGTCGTCCCTAAGGTGTTAATTTTGGACGACACGCTCCCGCAATCAAACACCGTGAGTTTTGTGCCTCCAAGGGAAGCCGCGTCGCGCAAACTCACGGGCAAAATCACAAAGGCGAGCGCGTACTGGCGCAATGTACGTGGCGGGAACGACGGCATCGACCGACCAATCGTCGTCCGATTCGCGCCTCCGACGCCACTTTCTCCCCAGTGCGCGACGCCGAGCCCGCCTGCGGTGGTCAAAACGCTCTCCGCGTACCCGGAGACGCCTCCGTGGTACGTCAAAAAATTCAACGCGGAGACGCGCGAGTTACAGAAAACCGCTCGAACACTCATCGACTGGACCACCGAGACGTTCAACGAGCTCTGTCCAGATCTAGACGACTTCACGTACACCCTGTCGTGGTTCGACACCGCCGAGGCCGCCGTCGCCGGACCGTCGCGATTCGAGCGCGCCAAGCTTGAGTAACCGACTCGTTGTAACGACGCGGCGTCACACACCGACGCATGACCGACTCCGCCGCGCGCCTAGAGGCGTACCTCGCGAGAACGGACCCACACGCATCCTCTGCCGTCGTTTCCGTCGCGACGCGCGATGCGTGTGACCCGGACGACGCGCTCAGAGCGACCGTGCGCAGGAGGATAGAGCTTCGGTTGATGGGACACGACGTGTTCGCCCCGCGTGCGACGTCCTCCATCGCGAGCGAGCGGCGCGCGCGGGCGATCGGTCATCACACGCTCGCGGGAGAGGCGCCGGACGAGGGTGAGAGCGCGGTGACGACGAGGACGGAGGAAGATGAGGAGGATGCGACGATGGATTGCGCTTCGGGACGGAACGCGGTCGCGGCGACGACGAAAACGCGGGCGGCGGACGCGGTGCTCAGACGGTTGGTGCAGGAGTTAAATGAGGAGAGGGATTCTGACGGGGAGGAGGAGTGGAAGCCGGATGGGACGCGATGGGAGGAGACGCCGGATTTTCTCAACGCGGCTACGAGCGCCAGCGCAAAGTCGTTGCGGGAGAAATATCCAGAGTTGTGGGGTCCCGATAACGCGCTCGGTGAGCGGTGAGCGCGGATGTGCGTTGTTCATAGACCTCGCGGCCGTTGAGATAGAAATAATAGCTCTAAGAAACTACCGGGAGAGGTATCGAGTCTAAGTAGATTTCCCCGTGGACGTCTTGGCGACGCGCCAGTCTGACTTTTTCGCACTCGAGAGCCAGTCGATAGTCTCACGAGTGAGACGAATCCACGCGTAGGCGATCACCGGTGAGAGTAAAACCACGACGTAATACGGTTCGTCGTTCATGGAGCACTTTCCTTTGCACGCCTTTTCCGCCGCGGAGTTGGCGCACGCGCCGAGCACTCGTCTCGTCCCTTCCTCGTAGCACACCTTGGTGCTCACGCGATCGATTGCGAAGAGCGACGCGCTCTCCATCCACTTCGCCCCGAGGTTACTCACGGTGTTCAAGATGGTCATGTACGTTCCTCCCATATCCGCGTCGGAGACGCGATTATAAAACGCCATGAACGATATGAAGTGCGCGTTGCTGAACGCGCTGTACGCGGAGAGCCAGAGAAATAGCACGACGTAGTATCCGTACGGAATGGATCCCTTCGGCATCGCCGATACGTTCGGTGCAAAGTACACGAGCCCGGCCGCGAAGGCGCACGCGACACCGCGCCAGACCCACGTCTTCGTGATGGCGTCGAGCGGCCGCTCGCCCGCGGTCCATTTTCGGGTGAGCATCGGCATCGCGAGATTAATCGGCGTCATGAGCGCCGACATCGTGGCGATGTGCGTCTTCGGCACCCCCTTTTCTAGAAGCTTCAGCGTCGTCAGCGTCTCAGAGGCGCTGAACGCGATGAAACGCGTGAGCAACACCGCGCTCAGTTTGAGCACCGCCGGCAAGCGCAGAATGGAAAGAGCCTGCGAGTACGCTTCTCGAACGCTCATCGCGGTCTCATTCTTGGTCTCCTTCGTCACGTAGACGAACGCCGCGGACGCGATGAAAACGTATCCCCAGAAAGATATGAACGCCCCCAGATCGACCCCGTACGAGTTCAGGGTTAAGAATCCCGTGAAACACACGAAGAAACCAATCATCTGCCCCACCGCGTTACACGTCGAGGCGAGACCGACATTCTTTTCGCTCAGCATCGTCAGCGCCCATCCGTCGACCGCGATGTCTTGACTCGCCAACAGCAGATACAACCAAAAGAACGTCCACGTCAGCGTTCGTACATCACTTCCTTCCTCGCTGATCAATCGTCCGAGCGCGTTCGCGAGCGCCAACAGCGTGCACCCGACCGCGAGCTGCAGCGGCAGCACCCACGTCCGCCTCTGCCCCATCTTCCGCGACCACACCGCGTCGACGATCGGCGCCCACAACACTTTCAGCGAAAACGGCCAAGAGGCGAGCGAAAAGATCCCTTGCTCGGCGTACGTCGCCCCGCGCTCCTGCAAGATGAATCCCACGCTCGCGCTCAGTCCCATCGGCACCCCTTGCAACGTGTACAGCACCAAGAGCAGGCACACCGCGCGGAAATCCTTTCGTCCGAGTCCAAAGTACCCATCGCCCGTCGTCGCCGCGGCCTCGTCGCCGCGCGTCCTCGTCGCGCGCGATCGCTTTCCATTCGTCGACGACGTCCGTGTCACCGCCCGTCGCGCCGCGGACGTTCCACCGCGCGCGCGCGACGCCCCACGCCTCGCCGCGCGTCCGTCGCGTCCGTCGTCGCCCATGCCGCGCGCGCGTGTGCGGGAATCGCGGCGTGAAGGAATCATTCGACGCGCGCGACGTCCGCGCACAAAGTCCATTCGCGGCATCGCCGCACGACGCCGCGCGCGATGCCGACGACGCGCGGCGCCAAGCGCGCGTTCGCCGTCTTCGCCTGCGCGCGCCCGCGTCGCGGCGACGACGACGACGACGACGCGGACGGCGTCGACGCGTCGGCGCGGCGGTTGACGCGATTGTTGACGAAGAAATCGGGCGAACGCGTCGTCGTCGTGCGCGCGGACGCGCGCGCGGCGTGGCGACGGGCGGGAACGGGCGTGCGCGCGGCGAAACGATTGGCGGCGACGAGCGAGACGAGCGCGCGCGTCGCGCGGGCGCTCAGGGAGCGCATCGAACTCGAGCTGGAGGGTGAATCCGCGCGCGAGGCGCGCGAGCGAGCGGGAATACAGACGCTGGACGGACGATTGGGGCGACTCGGGATGCGTCGCATCGCGATGGTTGGGGACGGGAATTGTCAATTTCGCGCGCTGAGTCACAACCTGTTCAAGAGTCAAGAGCGGCACGCCGAGGTGCGCGCCGCGGTCGTTCGCGACGTCGAGGCGCGTCGCGAAGAATTTGAGATATATTTCGAGTCCTCGCGAGAGTTTGAAAAATGGTTGAGGGAGATGAAGCGGGATCGAACGTGGGGGGACGAGCTGACGCTTCGCGCCGCGTGCGATTCGTTCGGAGTAAAGATACACGTGATTCAGTCGACCGAAAAGGGCTGGAATTTGATGTACGAACCGTTCGAGGTCAAGTCGAAGCGCGTGGCGTTCATCAGCTACGTCTCTCCCGTGCACTACGACGCGATTGCTGAGAGGTGACTATTTTCTATTTGTTGTACGCTCCGTTGTAACGAGCCGCGACGCTCACTCGTCGAACAGACTATCACCGATGGACTGGATGACACTCGCGAGTGCCTGATTGCGCGACGTTTTCACGCGCAAACGCGACGCATGCGCCTCGGCAGCCTTTGCCGCGGCTCGAGCGCGAAACATCTCGCGAATCGCCTCATCCTTCGCGCGCTCCTCGTATTTCAGCGCCGCGACCAAGTCTCTCGCTCGCGCGTCCGCGGCGTCCAGCCGCGCGCGCAGTTCAACCGTATCGGGTCCCGAATTCTGATCGACGAGCATGCGTAGCTTGGATAACTCGCCCTCTCGCACCGCGTCGTTCGCTCGAAGACGCGACAGCTCGTTCTCCAATCCCGCGCGCAGCTCTTCCTCTCGCGCCAGTCTCTCCTCCAAGTCTCTCGTCCGCGTACCACCCGCCGCGCTCAGCGCCACCGCCTGGCTAAACTCATCCACCTCACGCTCCGCCGCCGTCACGCGCGCGTTCACCGCGTTCGCGTACGACTCCGCGCGTTCACTCCTCCGTTTCGCCTCCTCCAGCTCGGCTCTCGCCCGCGTCGTCTCCGCCCCCGCCCGCGCCGCGTCGTCCCGCAACTCCCGCTCTCTCCCCCGCCACGCCTCCTCACTCGTCCGCAGCATCGCCTTCACCTCGACCAACTCCTTTCGCACCGCCTCCTCGCCCAATTTCCATCGCGCCGCGTCGCTCTCCGCCGCCCGCGCGTTTCTCTCGGCGTCGTCCCGCGCGTCCCGTCCGCGCGCCATCGCCGCCTCCACCTCCGCCCGCGCCGCGCGCTCGCGCTCCAATCGCTCCGCCATCGTTCGCATCGACGCCCGGTATCGCGCTCGACGAGCGCCCGTCGTCGCGCCTCACGCGCCGTCGACGCGTCCGCCTCGAGCGTCACCGCGCGTCGCGAG